AATTCTTCCTTATTATAGGGGTAGGTATCAGCTCAGATTGATCGGATAGTCCGTTTGAGACTAAGTTTCTGACTTTCACAATAACTGGAATTGGACGCACGAGTAACACGTGTTCCTATTATAAAAGCCGCCGCAAGAATGGCGACTGAAATAGCCTTATCTTTTGAAACGTTTATGCTTATGTTTATCTTACTAATTTACAACTACCTAAAGCCCGGTCTGTGAGCACGTAGAATTTTGTCCAATGACCCCAAGCTACCCATCCTTATAGCTCGCGCGTAATTATATTGCTGTCGCGACTGTGCGATGGGCGCCCACAGTGAGTGTGCGAGCGCAAAAGCAACATAATTACGCGCGAGCGATAAGGATGGGTAGCTTGGGGTCATTGGACAAAATTGTACGTGCTCGCAGACCAGACTATAGTATGATTTTAGAATAGGTTCAAGCCTGTGATTGGTTAAAATCACTTATTCAATAATGCTTAATTGATCCAGTTTTAGGCGTCAGTTTGAGTCAGAACATTTTATAAGTAGAAAGAAGAAAGTAAAAGAAACTCTGAAATGTAGCTTTCCACATATTTCAAAATTCAAATATACCAAGCAGATAAACTTGGTAAAAAAATAGAAAAACTAGGTGATACAGCAGCAAATCATTGATGCATTTCAAATGAGAGTGTAGGAGTGATAGCATTAATAATGAATTTTAATATCAAAGATATCCAAACTTCGGCAATGGCGCCCACACGTTATTCGTTGATATATTGAGTGGATATGACTATTGCATCATAATAAACGCAATGTCATTAGACCAAGGTGTTAATTAATAACTTTGTAGAGCCACAGTATAAAATATCAAATAGCTGAAGTTTGCTAGCAATAATCAATTGGCAATTAATGGATGACCACCAATATTAGAGGTACTGAACAAACTTAAAATACATAAGCCTGGTAGGTAAATAATTTTAAAAAATTTACATACCGGTACAACAGAAAGTAACTGCTTGGTATCCAATGGGTCATCAGGACTGCAGATTTACATCGGCACTAACAACTAAATCAGAATTGCAACCTCGATCTCAAGTGTCTTGAGAAACATTGATGGTAAGTGATAGAAGCATCAGAATAAATAACAGACGAAGGTCACAGGTTATGGATATTATTTGATTGACAGGTCTTATTGGAATTCTTAAACTCATTTGGTATTATTCAAGCCCCCTATCATAAATGGCAATGAAAAAAAGCCTGTAAAAGAGGGTCTCTATCCAGTAAATTGTAACAGTGAATGAGTTAAAGATAATTTTAAACGAATTAAAAAGTAGGTAATATTTGCAACACTCAAATGCTTTTTTAGATCAAACTCTCTTGTATTTCTACTGAAAGGTTATTTTAGAATAAAAGATAATTACTTAATGATTATAATACATTAGTAACTATCTAGAGCTAATTTTATTAGTTAACACAACAAATAAATTAGTTAATTAANTTAATTTTTTAGTGGATTAATTACTTGAAGCTTTTACGTTACGGTTTCAGTAGCGGCGTAAGGGGGGGGCGGTGGGGGCGGTCCGCCCCGGGTGCCAAGCATCAGGGGGTGACACAAGTCACGCAGATTAGTACTCACTGGCACATCTGCATGGCAAATCTGCGGTCTATGTCATCTATGTCATGATACGGGGGGGTGGGGGGTGCGACTGTCTTTCAATCTTCGAATCGGTAGGTAACCCCAAGATCATAGGGGGGGTGCCATAGGACTTGTGACGGGGGGGGGTGATCGCCCCGGGTGCCAACCCATGCTACGCCGCCACTGTACGGTTTCAAATCAAACTGTTAAAAAAATAACAATCTTAATTTTGGTAACTTTTTTACTATTTTTCTGGATTAAAATTCAAAGTTTCAAACTTTCGGGCGTTGAATTTTTAAAATCAATACTTAATATTATTAAACATAAACAATACCTTGATCTAACCTTGTAGGTACCTAATTTTATTACGTTCGTAGGTAATACTAAGTAGGTAGGTCTTTAATTCGAACGGATGCAGACTCTGTCGGGAAGAGAACCGACGTTCCTAGCCAAGGCTCTACGATCCGGTCCAGATTTCTCTTCGCTTGCCATTTTCCGCCCATTCAAATAAATAACTAGCTGATTTATGTATGAATTAGAAAGCCATATTTATTAATCTAAGTAAAATAAGTAGACAAGTACTATGTATTTAGCATTTAGCTAGTTGTCTAAATCCTTGATATTAAAATTAATTTTATAAATATTTTCACGTAAGTAAATACATAAGACATCATACATAAGTAGGTTTCGAAGATGGTACAGTCAGCATCAAATTTATAGTTGATGACACCCAAAGTAGCCAAAAAGTTTGCAACACGTCTTTGTTAGGTACATTGGAAGAAGGTTAGTGTGTTATAAATTTTTTGCTGGTCACTTTGGGTGTCATGAACTAAGTACTTTTTTGACGCTGACTGCCTAACTTATAAATCACATGGGAATCAGCAGCTCTATTAGTACCTGCCTATGTCATTGAATGGTGATGTCGATTAATGATTCCTTGATCTTTGCTCTACGATATTTATTAATTTATTAGGTACGTAATAATTGCTTCATTATGTTGTACAGATCATGCACTCCATTTATAACGTTGTCGTTTGAAAGGCTATGTTTTGAAATAATGTGCAATACCTAGTCATTTTCGATATTAGAAGTTTGACGTGCATGATAGAGTACCTAATCAATACATCTACAGGATCTTCACCTGGAATATACTTTTAGTATGTAAGTATTGTACCTATAAAGCAAGAGTTAAATAGTTCTTTATAGCAGGCTTAAATTATGTGTAGGCACTATACTCATGGGAACAATAAATCAATCACCTGTTGTTACGATAAAATGAATTACCTAATATCAAGTTCGTGAAATAATGTAATTGTAATAAGCATCAAATACTTAACAAGTGGATTAGCATGCTACAATATTACTCACTCATAATGACGACCGTTACAGCCATTAGATAGTATTAAAAACAAAACAAATTAATAAAATCCACCATTCATACAATGGTTGCTTAACTTCGTTAATCATTACCAAAGCCTGCCAAAGCGCTGTGGGTATTTTAGTTGACTGATAGCAACTAGTCGCTATCGTAGATAGAGATCACGAAGAAGCAATGCAAACTCTATGGTCGATGAGTAGAAAATAGACCCTTAAAAGTTTTTTCTTTCTTTTTTTAGTTTCCAAGCAAAACCTCGGACGGACAGACAGATGGACAGACAGACGGACAGACAGACGTTCCTTGTCAGGACCAGGGCCGTCTTTAACCTACTAGGGGCCCTGGGCACTTAAGGATCAAGGGGGGCCTATGTCATCTGGAGAAAGGTCTTTTGAGTAGACAGGGGCCCCTTCGGTCGCGGGGCCCTAGGCACGTGCCCAAAGTGCCCAGTGGAAAAGAGGGGCCTGGTCAGGACTACTAAACCTTAAAAATTGTGTCTCTTGTCTTTCTCCTTCTTTTTTTCTTGTGGTATGTACCTGTCTTATGTACCTTATTATGTATGTTAAGTGTGTCCTCTATCTATCTATCTACTTAGGCTTTCCTAATGGCATCGAACGTCACTGAGTTAACTAACTTATTTCATCGTTAAAGATGTCGTCAGAAAAACTGAATGAATGGAAAGACCAGTCAATTATTGAAAGCCTGACTCATAGGGTTCCCTAGTGTTACATAGACTCTACATAAGGCGTTGGTTAAAATAAATATACAGGGTGATTACGAAGTTATGTACTTGATCAAATAAAATATCATTTGTTTAGCACTACGTCCAATTCGAACCCGATCCGTGTCCTTCAAAATATGGATATAAAAAACTATATTTAAATTAATTCAATCTAAAAAACTACTTTAATAGATATTGGAGACGGATCAGATCGGACTCAGTGAAAAACACATTTCTGAAGTCCCATGTGGATTTTAATAACTATCTTATTCTTCGATATCATGAGTATCCGAATTAGTTTGACTTATGCGTACATTTTATAACTTTAACCGTACCTACGATTATAGAATATAATTATGTAGATAAAGATAGAGGTTCTAACAAATAATAGTAAGTAGACTGGTAGAGTTGTGGAGACCCTGCAACAACACCCGCGGCAGGGGAAGACCGCCTAAACGACGGACAGACGATATCAGGCAGCAGGCTGGAGTGAACTGGATGCGTGTGGCCAGGGACAGAAATCGGTGGAGGGTTGAAGAGGAGGCCTATGTTCGAAGGCGAACCCAAAGGCTGACATAGATAGATAGATAGATAGACTGGTAGAGCTTCTAATATTTGATACGAAATATTTTTCCGTAGATCTGGTTCAGTCATATTATTATTTACCTATCAGTTTACAAGTAGGTAGTATTACATGCATCAATACACCCGTCAGATCTCCCGTCAATGGTTTCATAGTAACCCTGTATAGGGTGTAATTAAGTAATCCAAAGGAAATGCCCGGTGGTGTGGTCATCGGCAATTATGTTTGTTGAAACTTTTCTTGGACGATTCCTGCACAGTTTAATCGTGTTAGGAAACGAAATTAAAAACGCGACGCAAAACTTTTTATTAGTGAATTTATTTGCCTAAATATTATACTAGTTGTCTGGGTTATATGGACTGGGTAATGCATTACACCTGCACCTTGCACCGTCCACTAGTATCGGAAAGTATAATTTAGAGTGGTTTATTTTTAATGTAGTGGTCATTGAATATTAAACAAAAATGACACATATTGTCCACAATTAACTAAACTTCTCTCAATGACAAATATTTGCAAATTCGCGTACATATCTTGCAACATAACGTGCGAGTGCGAAGGCCCGACCGCCCGACGCTCTCCATGCGGCACAACACTAACCGATTGATTTCAATCAACCACTCAATCAGAAGCAACGAGTATCAATTAATTACCACTTAAACTCGCCGGTTTACACCAACCCGTTCCGTCGCGCACGCTGCACATTTGACAGACTGGCCAGTTTGCGTCTGACTTTCGAACGCGAACGCCCGATGCGCGCAAAAGAAGTACACCTGTCAAAAATTGGCGGCAAACTTTCCGCCACAGAGTAAAAATAGTTTCGGATTTTTTCTTCTGTGTTTTTTCAAGTGCGTTTTAGTTATAAAATCATGTTTCTATTTTCATTGAAGAAAGTTGTTTTGATAAAGTAAAAACAGTGAGTGTTTACTTTTTGGTGAAAGTGGAAGGATACATTTAATTGAACATGAAGTCAATGAGTTGTTTGTTTGCCGGATTTTTTATATTGTTGGCAGTTTTAATAGGTGAGTTTGTTGTTAAATATTTACTTATGTACCTAACTAAGTTACGTGTTTATTGACTCTAAAAGTTATTTGAAGAATTCATAAAGTATTGAAGCATCCATACAAAAATGGATTCCTGGATTAGTTACTATAAATCCTTAAAATAGCATTTGATAAAATAAAATATAACACGTTACATCATCTTATGCAATTTATAAATACGTGAGTACTTAACTTACACTTAAATTGCTTAACATTAGCCTACAAAATTTTGCAAATCCGGAAACCGCTGCAGTCACAGACGACAGAGAATGCATCAAATGCCGCTTAAAAACCATGCAGACCGTTTATTGCTGGTTTGACGTTTTCTGCTGTTCGTCCGTTTCAGTCAGTGACGTCCACTGCTGGACAAAGGCCTCTCCAAAGGATTTCCATAACGTCCTGCGCTGTCCGCTTCCAGGTTCTTCCCGGGTTCCCGGTAATGCACCAAATGCCGCATAAAAACCATGCAGGCCGTTTATTGCTGGTTTGGCATTTTCAGATGATTGTAAATTAATGATTATGAAACTGGTTTATTAATTAAATACTTAATTAGTTCATAAACGCACTAGAAAAAAAAGGAAAAAATATTACGTACGTTGTTTTGTACGAGTAGGTACATACCTAAGTAACGATACACGCACTTTTTTCTGAACTTGATTAGGTTCAAAAAATTATAAAAGACACAGAAATTATTTAAATAAGCTATTCCTAACCTAGTAACCGCATATTTCATTCACTATCTACTCCTTTTTCTTAGGTATTAGTAGTTTGCATTAAATTCGTCATAAATTTTGAATTTCACCTTGTACCACATAGAAAAAATGTATCATACAATATTTTATGCTCATGGTTAAATTACCCCACCATAAAAGTAATGAACCAAACTCAAATTAGCATATTAATTAATACAAGTAAAACCACCATTCATAAAAAGACAGCGCAATAAAGAACACATTATTATGACACCAAATTAATGACGTTATTCAATTATGACTGTACCAAGACAAGAGATGCCAACTATTCTTTATAACAATTATACAATATACAGTATAACGAATGACCATCCCATTTACTAATTCTATACATTAGTGAATGAATAAAATGAATACCTTTCGCTGGTGAAAGTGGTTACACATTAGGTGTTCGGTAATTAGTAAAATCCGGCGCCTTGAGTTCCTTTTACAGATCTCAATGTATGGCCAATCATTTGAGGTCTAATTGCAGGTGTCTAATCGCCGTACATGCAGTGGGTCCCAGGTTCGGTTCCTGGTTGTGTCATTTTAGAAAATGAGTTACCTGAATGTGTTGTGGTAACTCATAAAACTTTTCCTTAGTATTTCCAGTTTCGTCTTGTCTGGCATGGAAAAACTTAAACTTTGTATTCAATTCACGTAATTAGCAAAATGTTCAAAAACTAACGAATGAAATTCCGCAATTTACCTATTAATTTTAATTTACAACGCTTGACTAGATTTTCACTAAAAAGTAGCACGCAGTACTGAAAAAAACATTTCGGTTCTGACTTTGAAGTCACTCATTAATAAACATAATTATTGGTTTAAATAATAACGTTGTTCTTTCATATTACCGGCGTGAGTAATTGCAATCATTGCAGGTTCACTTATCATCGTATTTTAAAATAAAATGAGCTTTATTTTTCCGATCTTACGAGTGAAAATTATATAATGAAAATCAAAACAACTTACAACGTACTTGAACTTATGGCCGTACAAAGATTAATCGTAAGACAAACATACCAAAAGGGGAAATTATGTCACCATACATTCGCACGGTGCTCTACAATAGCGCGTGGATAAGTCACGGTCAGCGAGAAAATTCAAGTTTGTACTTTAACATGTTTTCAGTACCACCCAATTATTGATAATTTTACTAAGAAGTAGTCAGACTAAAAGATTTAGTAGTTAGTAAATTCAAAAGTCTATACTAATCTTATTGAATGCACATAATTCTCTTTAACGTCTGTTTGATTGATTACAAGTTACACATATTAATGAAAATGAAAAAACATTTTATTCAGTATCTTTGAAGTTAACATATTGTTGCTAGTGGCTGGGGTATCCTTTTAAGTATTATTAGTACTAGAATAACGCTAGATATCATTATAGTTTTGGTTACATTAATAAATTGTTTGTTTTTATCTCCCGACGCAAAAACGACGGGGGTTATGAAATTAGGAATATGAAGAGACGGGGCTTTCTCTCCTCTACAAGATCAACAATTATTACGATTAATTTCGAGCAGAATAAAGATAATACGAAGTTGAACACTACACGGCTTTAGCATTAAAATTAATTTCAACCTTGCGTCCCCACTTATATCCGAACAATCCACCGGCCACTTCCAATGAATAAAAAAAGAAAAAAACAAGAAAAGTGCGTTTATTTTGTTTTCTTTTCCATTCTAAATGGCACGCACGGGTCACGGCTCGGTCAGTGGGCAACGGTACAAGTGCATTTGCACTTGGCACACATCAAGTAGTGCGTTGTTCTCGCTTGTAAGGGGGACGATTGGCCCTACACTCGTCGCTCGTCATATGCCGGATTCTATTTATTTATTTTATTTATTTGGAATAACAACAGCCGATACATATAATAGACTTAAATCAAATATTTTTCTTAAACTAATTAGGCCAAAAAGGTTATCCACAGCATTAACGAATTTTGCTTAAACTATCAAGTTAAAAACAGTAAAGAAATTTATATAGACACCTGACTACAATTTGCTCCTGCCCCATGATAATATGTTTGGCAAGATCAAGTGTTGTGTTTTAAATGATCCAGTCCACACACACATTGATAAATACTGGTATGTAAAAATATACTCGTCGCAAAACAACTACCTAACGGAAGTCTACCACCTTAACGGAAGAGGTCGTGATGTTATAATTTGAAGTAACAGACGTCTACCGTATTTCTGATTCGATTTACCATTAGCATCTAAGGTAACGTCTATAATGCATTTAACTTCATCTTCACGATTTTTACAACAAACTTCACTTAATCTTGGCTTAGTCACCGATGCGTTTTCCAGATATTTAATAAAGCCAGATTTCAATGAAGGCTATTTTTCACTCACAACATCATCATCAATCATCGGGCTCATTTTACTGCTTGAATGCACATTGATTGGTGCCAAACGCAATTGGTCGAAGGTGCTAATCATTTTCGCAAAATCATTCATATGGATTAAATTTCTGTATAGCAAGACATCCTACTGACCCATATTTAGAGACCTTTTATGTATTGTAACATGCGAATGATTTTTATTTGCCAGCTGTTCAATGTCACACAATTTACTTTTTAAAAGCAACCAACTCAATTGAAAGAAGAAAGTGTGTAAAGTCTGAAATAACGAGCAGTCATCAAACTTCGTTAAAATAAATTGCAGTAACAAATACAATTGCTATTTGACTCAATCATCTATAATAGTATCGTTGTATAATATCAAGCTGTTCTCACTTTGTTTATAATGAGCATGAGTTATCTATAAATTCTATTGTTAATTCTTTTTGTCCGACTGACTGACGACCTTTTGGTTATATTGAGGTAACTGAGAGCCTCAAAAGGCATCAAAAAGTATTACAAGCTTTAGAGACGCACAATCATGTGTGCCGTAACTAATGTATAACTTTGACGATCTGTTAGAAATACAGATTTTATCGGTCTTATACAGAAATTCTTTATCTCGCGTCTATATTTGTATGGCACAACACTAAAATAATGCCTTTTGAAAATTAAAACCTGATTCCTTGCATTCTTCACGTCATTAGGCTTTGCTAATTTTCTTAATTAATAAGGATATACACTGAATTTTCTATATATAGCCTAATTTAGATTTCGAAGTGAAAAATAGTTGATTTTGCCTCTTCTTCATTCATTTTTTTAACGTATCTCATTGCATTTCTGCAGAAAATTCAGTGGTCATCCAAATTGTTTACACCGTGTAAAAATATAATACTTTCAAACCGCCAAACGTTTGATAGTGTCATCTCATACGTCATGCGAATTCGACCACTTTCTCCCACGAAAGTAGTGACAGTCGTCTTCGCTAATTTACATAGTTTAATATTCTTTTGTTATGTAGCTATGGAAATTGAAATGTATTGGATGGCCGCAGTTCTTGAGAGGATAGATCTCGAGAATATTATTTTATTATGCACAGGATGATACTTTCAAGTTATATAGAAAGTTTTTATATGACTTACCTATGAGAGAAGAAATTTTAGATCATTGAATAACAGAAATTAATGTGACTCCTAAATAAAACTGTCTGATTACTCAAATCAAAATATTATTTAAAAAATCATCAATTACTGGCCCTGCGCTCCAATTTAGGCAGTGATTGTAGGTTACATAGTCAATTAAATGTTTAGTAAAATTATTATTTATGTATTAAATACATACCTACATAGCTTAATAATTGGTAGGTATATCACGCACGTGTAGTTTGAAAATATTGGGTACTTTAATTATTTGTATTTTGTGATTTATTTCAAATTAGTGCGCTATGTTTTCCACCTTAGTAGAGACCTACGGAATTGATTTACATTTATATCAGTTGCATTCTTGACTCTAATAGTATTATTTTAGGGATTAAAATGCAATGAACAGATTCTAATCCACCTGCAAAGTGGAATAATTAATCTACTTAAGCGACTTCACCTTGAGTGTTAAAACTGAAGTAACTAACACGATATGTGGTAATAGGAAGTCGTTTATTGTCATACGATTATCATCTTTAGGGGAACAAGATAAGGTACAATGCGCTTTTTAGGTTAGAATGTAAAGTGTGATCTAGATGCCTTCATAATTTTAGACTCTCAATGCCATAATATTAATATTCGATCCACTTTAGGAAATCATACTTGAAAACAAGTTATAATTTTTCACACCCAAAATCGAGACTAACGCCCGTATTCACAAACATTACTATGAGGTCTCACAGTGCGCGTGGATGCA